ATAGCCGAGTCGATATAGCCATGTCTGTCTGTCCGTCTGTCTGTCTGTCCGTCTTGTTGAGTGCCTAGATCTCAGAGACTACATATAAGAGCTAGGGCAACCAAATTTGGTTTCCAGACTCATGTGATATCCCACTGCTACAAGTGTATTTCAAAATTTCGCCCCGGCCCCTTCCACCCACACAAAGAACGAAAATCTGTGGCAGGCACAATCTGAATTAGATCGGATCATAATTATAGCCGGAATGAAGAAATTAATTTTCAGTTGCTTCCCCTGTCCCATCCTGCCGACGACAAGCAACTCATTTTCCTTCTCGCTCGCACACTCTGCCGCGTTCAGTGCGCGAGCAACCCCTAGCGGAGGAGATGTAGAATCTAAATGGTAAATGTATAATCTACATGTTAGATGTAGAATAAACATAATATATGTAGATAACAGATGTAGCAAAAAAATGTAAAATGTAAAATTTTTTTTTTTAATTCTAAAATTCTAAAAAATCATAAGCTCAAAAATGTATATACTGACTGAGTACGGGTATAAGTAGAGTCGCGTCCCCAGAAGTGACTCGCACGTTCCTTTTCGTTTTTTCTATGGCAGAACTTTTTTTTAAAGAATTTTTGAAAACGTGTATTTTTTGAACCTTTTCTCAGAGGTAGCGATTGTTTTTTTCACATAACCCTAGTATCTTACGTCTGGTTGTAAAGAACTTTGCTATCTTGTAAAGATTAAAACAGCTAAAAGTTGAGCCTAAATACTTTGTGATTTCAGCTTACCGTCTGGGAAATATAAAGCTGGGAAATACAAAAATGATGATTTTTGTGTGTTTTTTTTTTACGAAATTTTCTAGCTGTTTCAATTATCTTTTCAAAATAGCAAAGTTCTTGGCAACCGACCTTGCGCGCTAGAGCTATGTGAAAAAAACAAGCGCTACCTCTGAAAAAAGCTTAAAAAAAAAAATACCAGACTTCAAAAATTCTTCAAAAAAAAGTTATGCCATAGAAAAAAAACCATAATTCTTTAAAAAATGTTAAATCCCCATTCTATCAGAAAAAGTCGGTTTGGATCCTTGAGGAAAAAAAAGTTCGATTTTGTCGAGTAGTGTTATTAAACGAAATTTTTTTCAGTGGAACTATTCCGAATAGTTGGCGAATAATAAAGGTTATTCCTGTACCGAAAAAAAATTTAGACGCCTCCATAGTCTCAAACAACAGACCTATCTGCCTCCTAAGCGTTTTATTTAAAAGCTTGGAGGGTATTATAAAGATTCGTATGGAATCTTTTATAAATAGGCACAATCTACTGCCCAATAGATCTTATGTCTTTAGAAAAAACCACTCCACTGCACACTGCATAAATGATGTAATAAATAATGTAGCCAATCTCAAAGCCAAAGGCTTTCAGGTTGTTGCAGCGGTTTTGGATATAAGCCAGGCATTCGACCCAGTCAACATACCTCTGCTGTGTCGGAAGCTAATAGATTTGGAGTTTGACATAGACTATATTAGGTTTATAATTAGTTTTTTGGAGAAAAGGGTTTTAAAATGCGGCAAACTGGAAAAAACTGTTCACAAGTGTGTGTGTCAAGGTAGCTGCCTTAGCCCAATACTTTTTAATATCTATACATCAGATTTTCATTCTATAAATGATGAAAATTGTATTCTATTTTAGTATGCAGATGACTTTTTTATTTTATGTTTTCACAAAGTTTTTGATTCGGCTAAGAACATTTTAAAAGAAAAAATAAATGAATTTAATATGGGATGCAGCAGTAAAAACTTAAGATTCAATTCGACAAATTCCACCGTAATTCATTTTAGTAATTGATGACGTTCATTAAATATATTACATAACAATGAAACACTAAAAGATGTAGGTAAAGTAAATTACCTTGGTAGAATAATTGCTGCCAATAACTCCTCAGTACTTCACATTGATGAAATAATTTCAAAATCAAATAAGAATAACATGTTTTTACAAATTCTCAGTGGATGTCACTTCGGAGTTAATCCAAGCAAATCTTTAAATTTTTACAAAGCCTTTGTACGCTCCAAATTAGAATACCCTTGTTCCACATTTGCAAACATTTCTAAGGTGGTATCTAACAAAATTAAAGATCATATAAATGTTCATCTTAGTCGAGCACTAGGCCTAATAAAGTCCACCCCGGTAAATAAAATTTACAATCTAGCTGCCGAACTTTCACCTGAATACAGACTAAAATTTATTACAGCTAAGGAGCTGGCTAAGGTTTTTGCCTATGGTCTTCCGGCGTCATCGCTTTTGGTCAGTTCTTTTGCGGCACGGAATACCAGCTACGCCAAAGTCTACGACGAGTTTAAAGACATTTTGAATGCAGCTTTAACAGCAAAATTTCAACCGACACAGATTTTTTCAAGGGCTCATGTCCAAACAAAAGATCTGCAAGTAATGTTCTTATAAATTCGTTAGCTCAAGAAAAATTAACTCATTTAAAATCTAAACACTTCAATTTAATTTTCACGGATGGTTCAGTCACAGTTAATTACGGGGTTTGTGTCTTTATCCATAAAGAATCAGGATCCGTTAAAAGTTTCTTTACCAACAAAAAGTTATCGTCACTCACAGCTGAGCTTATAGCCATTAATAGGGCCATTGACTTTCCATTTCCGAACACTTTCTTAAAACTGCAATCCTCACAGATAGTCTCAATGGGGTTTTAAATTTAAAAAACATCAACCCAGATAATTACATTGCCAAAGAAATAATAAACAAAATTGAAAACGCTTCCTGTTTGCTCGTAGTGGAATTTCATTACATTCCAAGCCATGTACACATAAAAGACGAGAAGGAACGTGTGAGTCGCTTCTGGGGACGCGTACTCAGTCAGCATATATATATTTTTGAGCATTTCATCATTCTGGCTATAATTATGATCCGATCTGATTCAGATTCGGCAATCTGGTAGATATGGTCATTCTCTTCGATACTGCGTTTTATCGTATCTTTAAAATTGTGGCTGCCACAGATTTTCGTCCTTTGTGGGGGCGGAAAGGGGGCGGGGCGAAATTTTGAAATACACTTGTAGCAGTGGGATATCACATGAGTCTGGAAACCAAATTTGGTTGCCCTAGCTCTTATAGTCTCTGAGATCTAGGCGCTCTTCGAGACGGACAGACAGACAGACGGACAGACAGACATGACTATATCGACTCGGCTATTGATGCTGATCAAGAATATATATACTTTATGGGGTCGGAAACGTTTCCTTCTCTGTGTTATACACATCCACTGTTACCACAAATCGGGTATAAAAACGAATTAGCTGATATTGCTGCAAATAATGCTAAAATTAATGTCAAATTCTTTATTTCTCGCTGGCCTCTTAAAGACGCCATCACAAATATTTATAATAAAAAAATTAAAGAAGATTGGGAAGAGAATATATTACTTACGCCACGGAAAGAATTAAAGGTTACACAAAATTATTTCCTTATATACGGGACAAACCATGGTTTAAAGACAAAAACTGTAATCTTAGCCGTCTGGAAATCAAACAAATTAACAGACTACTAAGTGGTCACGGAATAGACAAAGTTTCGCTTACTAGAATGAAAGTAATGAATAACAATTTATGTGATTTCTGCAACCTACCAGAAGACACTTCACATATAATTTTTATATGTCCCGCTTACTCTCAAGAAAGAAATCGTTTTCCAGTACTCAAATCCTATACTGATATATATCGTTTCTTTGAAAAAGAACCTATCGCATCTTACAAATACATTGTTGAATTCATACGCATCGCAAATATCAAATTGTAAATCAAGCACGCTAACCATTTACTAACAAAAACGTCATTGCATGAGCATCATACATACACTTCCAGTCATCATATTTAAAAGTTAAAACAATTAATCAAGTCTTTCAAGAAAACAATCAGAAGGTGGCGTTAACCCGTATCAAACGTGGAGGCCAAATAAATCTATCAACTAATCACGGTTGAAAGTAACTTAATATAAAAAAAAAAAAAAAAAAATAATATTTGTGTACCGACCTGACAAAACTTCGGAACTAAGGATGTCCGGCTTTAACCAGGTCTCGGTGAACACAATAACGTGGGACGAGAATGCGAGACTCTCAAGGAAAAGAGTGCTGAGCTTACTACGCCAGCCTCTAGCATTCTGGTAGGTAACTAAAAGAGAGGAAGTTAGTTTTTTGGATGCGTAGAAGTAGAGGTGGAAGATGAGGGTGGAGATGGAGCACTGGTCTGACTACAAGGAAGAGTTATGGGGGGCCTATTCTTTTTCTTAGCCTTAAACTTTAACCACCAAATTCTCCGGCCGAAACTTGGCGTAACAAATGGTTTCAAATTGAGTCGGGGAGACGCTTATCTTGAAGGAAGATATCCACCTTTAAGCCTTTATTTTGCTTTGTATTACATCATTGGATGTGATGCCAGGGGCTAGCCGCGATACAAAAACTGTCGCTTTGGTGGGACTCCCACCAGTGGTTTTGGCACCACAGGCCTAGTACCTATCATGGCAGTATCTGGTGGTCCTGGACGTCAATTAGCTGGTGGGAGCAAAACTGATGGGATAGTTAAGGAGTTGGGTGCGGACTTGACGGACACGGACGCTACAGACATGTCTAACTGCATACTCTCCGAAGTGACGCATTCGGCTCCCGAATCTACATCACCAGCAGCGATTGTTGCCCTTGGAGTAGCAAACGCAATCAACTGCTGCACTGAAGGAGTGGTCGGAGTAAGTTTTTTGGATGCCGGCGAACGTGAGGCAGTCGGCACTTGCAAGTCCCGCGGAGACTCAGCCAGAAGCTGTAAGCTGCTGAACTGAGTGTCCACGGCCAAGAGCCGAGTCAGTCGCTTGGGTAACTTAATGGTGTAGCAATGCATTACATTTTTATAAGGTGGATAAGGGTGTCTCTGTCGCGATCGACAAAAAATTGTAGAAAAAAAGAACAAAAAGCAACTACTGATTTAACTGTCATTGAATAATACTTATCCCTCCTTGTCCATCACTCTGCTCAACACAAAACAAGTACTCTAATCACTCACGTGTGTATTCAACATTGGTATATTCACACAACTCACAAAATAAGGATCCGCGCTTTGAGAGAAGATTCGAAACTGCGAATCTATTGACACAGGATGACACCTGCGGTACATCGGCGAATGAGGCGTCATGGTCCGGTGTACGTTCTCGTTCTGGCATCAGTGATGATGCTTGTCCTGGCTCAGGTGCCCATTGAAAATGAAGAGTACGATGAACGAGGTCCAAGGGCAGCAACAACAGAGTCGGCGGCGGATAATGACACAGGAACTCCATCCTGGTGGCGTGCGGGTTACGAGGGTGACGGCACGACGCACGAACAGGTTGGACAGCTGCACTGGCCTCCTGTCATGTACACAAGGTACGAGGGGCGTCCCAACTACTCCCGGGATCTTACCTCACCAACCAAATCCGTGAATTTCATTTACAACTTTACGCATAATCTCTTCGAGCGGGTGTTCACCGACGACCCCGCGCTGCCACAGAGTGAGTATCAAACCGCGGGCTGGTTTCATTCCACCGATGTTTCCATTGCTGTGCTCATTTGCTACAGAATACATTATGGCGATGGGCAATGATGTGGTGGCTCTGGGCCCCAAGGTGGAGCGCAACGATTGGTCTGATCTATTGGCTCGCTACTGGCTGCTGCTTTTCTTCGTGATATTCCTCGTAGCCGGCATCATTCTCATTCCGTGTATTGGGTAAGTGAGGAATGTTCAGCAACGCCCCGTAGGAGTATCCAACATTTTCTGTCTCTTCCCTGCCTTTTCCTACAGTGTATGCTATTGCTGTCTCTGCTGCTGTCGCCGTTGCAAGCAGGGATGTCCGACGTGCACTAGCGCAGTGGACTTCCGGAGGCGCATGTGTTGCGGCACGTGCCTAGCGATCCTCGTCGTTGGCCTATGGTAAGTTTTGCCCTGGGTCTGCATCTGCAACTGGCTCTGTGTGTAATGGCCCTAATGGTGTGTTCGGGATGTTCGCAGCTTTGGTGTCTATATTGCCTTTGTGTCGAACAAGTTTTTGGATCGGGGATTCGATGATACTACAATGACAATGCGGCGCGGTAGCGAGGACACTTGCGTCTTTTTGAAGGATGTGGCTGATCACATTACACATCTTTTTTTGAAAAACTTTATCGAACTGGAGACGCACGTGAGCGATTTATTAGAAAGTAAGTTCTTTGCAAATTGCCATCGACCCTTCCCACCCATCGACACATTCTATCCGTAGATGCGTATACGCACATCTTTCTGGACCTCGCGGACACATCCGATAGCAATGCGCTGGTTGAATTGGAGCGCATTTTGGACAACATGCCAGCAGCCCTCATCATCATGCGTCAGGTGGATAAGATGGAGAAGGAACTTCGCTTCTGTGGTTCCACGTATCGAGACTGTAATTATTGAAATACGAGTCATACTCGTAGATATCGTTGCATTGTGTCTCGTTGTGTTCTCATCTTCAGGTGTTCGAGGATTGAAGCGAGACATCGACTATGTAGTCGCCAATTTATGTTCAAGAAGTGATTGTCACCTTTCCTATCGTCATAGAGACGTTGTAAGTTTGGGTCTTCCGGAGTGTCTGTACTTTGATCAGGTATTCTAATTTTTAAATTTAATTGTTTCTTACTAACCAACTAACTAACTACCTACACTGCCTGGAGCTTCCCAACACTACACTCTATGTGGAGGCAATGCAAAAAATTATTAAGGATAAGTATTTGGAGATACCAAAGAGGGGCATTGCTCGCCTCAGATTAGTAATTGACAAAATCCGTAAACAGATGGAACTGATCATTCCGCCATTGAGGCGAGATTTTGGCATGGGGCGGGGTCTCGTTTTTAAATATGCCTCAACAATACGCAACTTAATTGAAGCAGTGATCAGTGATATTCATCTCAATACGATGCGCACGACAAAGACATACGACGATGTCTACGAAAAGTTTGGGCAAGATCGCGATGATATTTATAAATTTACATGCGTCTTAATATTCATAGTAAGTAAAGATTTTCTTCGCTTCGCTTAATTATTCTTTTCTTGGCTTTATCTTTCGCCTACACCTCGTAGCTAATCATAGTCCTGATCTCTGCACTCTTATGCGGCTGCATCGGTCCAAGTCGGACGACAGCCGGTGCCTTTGGGTTTTGCAGCAAGGGTACGGGCGCCTCCTGTCTGCTCATGTAAGTTTCAGTTTCAGCATAAGAAAAAAGAACACATACATCGATTTTATTTGACACTGTTTTAGGGCCATGATTATTATATTTTGTATATATTCGTGGGTCACACTAATTGGATTATTCTACTTTCTGATCGGTCTGGTGACCTATGAGGGTGCCTGCTCCCCGTCCAGCGAAGGCGACAAGAATACACTCTTTCGGAATCTGGACGCTTTGATCGATCTGAGTACATTCTCGACGCTCGCCGATGATGCTTTTGTGCCACCCATGCGTATGTCGAGCGCCATCAAGCACTGTCAGGCAAATGAGTCCATCTTTCATCTGCTGCGTGTGAATAATCTTTTCGATGTCGACGACTTAACACGCCTGCAGATGTCACTCGATAACGCCAAAGACACGAAACAGTTTACCGAGGATCTATCGCAGATTTACATCTTGACTGACGACGAAAAAAAGCTGCTCCGCGAGCTGAGCCACGGCAATCTCTCGTCCTACCACTCAAGCTTATACCTGTCAAATTTGTGCACCCGTTTTACGTACCACGATTTGGTACCCGATTGGTCGGGTCCGTGGCGAAAGCTCGCCGAAGATTTGCTTGTGAGTGACTTAAATTATTGGACGTACCATGACGGTGTACCGCCCGACTATAAAGGATGGAAAACGTACCATTACTACTACTGGAATGCCCACGTGGCATTGCATAATGTCCTCATCGATGCCGACGCCTTCTTTAACAACTTCAATGACAAAGGCGAGGGGCTTATTAACAAGATTAGCAGGGACGTTCCAAAGGTCGATAAACTTATTTTGTACGAAAACTTAGATTTCGGCGATTCGATTGATACACTGCTCGGTGCGATACTGTGGGGCGAGAAGTTTATCCAAGAACGAGGCAGGGATTATATTAACAATCTAGCCCAGAATCTTACCGACGCCATCAACGGCCAGCTTCGCGATTATATCGATATGATAGTTGATGAATCCAACACTCATGTCGGCCATTGCCAGCCACTCGCCTACATTTACTATCGGGGCGTTAGTTTCATTTGCGAGCGCCTAGTGAATCCCCTTGTAAGTACAAGGCGCCCCTCAAGTCCACAAGTAATCGTATCGTACTGATCCTCTATCTCATCTTTACAGAATAGTGCCTGGGTGGGCATGCTACTGTGCTCCTTGCTCTTTCTGCCGATACTCTTCATAAGCCATCGTTTGATGTGCTTGTACCTGAAAATATATCCAACGGCTTCTGTTGAAGATGGTGGTCACAAATGTCTCAACTGCGCGACGGTACAACGTGAGTATAGCCCACGGCCGCCCGGTACTGATTTCCCCGTGGGATTTCCACACCCCCCACGACATTTGGAGCGGCAACAGGAATCATTGGCGAAGCTGCAGATTGAGAAGAGTAAGCGGAAGAGAGAGTAGCCCAGACCAGTGTCATCTTTCATCTTTCCATGTTCGTTGAAGAATTCTAGAGGATTCTTGTGGATAATCCAGATCCAATTTGATAATTTGTTAAGGTTCTCAAAATATACAACAGTTACACAATAACAAAAAAACAAAAAAACCATTGACAATCTTTTAGGTTCAATTATGAGAATTAAGATTTGTCTACTTGTCGTTAGTCTCTAAGAGAGAAGATTTAATAAATAAAGTCCTGTAATAATAAATAAAATGAGAAGGAACGTGAGTTGATTCTGTGGACGCGACTCTACTTGTATACCCTAGTCAGTATATAAATACGTTGGCTTATGCTTTTGTAGAATTTTAAAAATGGTATATTTGTATATTCTCCAACTGAAATGTAGATTATACTTTTACAATTTAGATTCTACATCTCCTCCGCTATGGGGCGCTCGCGCACTGAACGAGGCAGAGCGTGCGAGCGTGAAAGAGAATGAGTAGCAACTGAACATTAATTTCTTCATTCTGGCTATAATAATGATCCAATCTTTATCAGATTCGGCATTCTTATAAATATAATCATTCTCTACGATACTGCGTTTTTAGTTTGATTGTATCTTCAAAATTTTGGCTGCCACTGATTTTCGTCCTTTGTGGGGGCGGGGCGAAATTTTGAAATACACTTGTAACAGTGATATATCACAAGAGTCTGGAAACAAAATTAGGTGGCTCTAGCTATTACAGTCTCTGAGAATTAGGCGCTCATCAAGACGGACGGATGGTCGGACTGACAGACATGGCTATATCGACTCGGCTATTGATGCTGATCATGAATATATATATCCTTTATGGGGTCGTAAACGTTTCCATCCTCTGCGTTACACACACGACAGATACAATATACCCCTTAACCCTTTGACTACGGGTATACAAATATTATGTGAAGGGATTTCAGATGAGTTTCCATCAGCTAGCATCTCGATGCCGAAAGTCCTCGGATTGAACATTTGGATGGACTCGCCGATGACAAATATTTTTTGCGCAGGACAAATCATAAGCGAATTAAGTCAAGAAAGTGGCTAAAAGGTGCTCCGGAATGGTCCTGTGCGGAATGTGTGATGAATACTGCAGCAATAAACGCTTGCAGAAGCAGCGACCAATTTCGACGAGCTCATTAAGCGCTTAAGCAAAAATGCCAATAGCCCGCTAATTAGTTGGAAACGGAATGGAAGGAGTCAGCAGGTGGGGAATACTCTGTTTCTGCCGCTCGTGGCACTTGGCATTTGCCACTTGTCACTTGCCGACCCGGTCCGCGCCGGTTTTTGGTTTCCTTCTTCTGCGGCATCAGTTTTCGTTTTGTTTCTGGTATGGTATGGAACTGCTCGTTGCCCACCTGGCCAAATACTTGTCGAAACTTTTATAATTATGTTCGAGCTATGGCAAAAGTTTCAGCCACGTTTCGGACTCAGTATCCGGCACAGACTAGGACTAGAACTTCGACTTCAACTTCGACTCCGTCTTGGAGTCAATGTCTGCTCATTTCTTTGGCAAGCTTGGGTCGCAGTGAAAGTTGAGTTTCCTTCTTCTGCTCTCAACAGTTTGCCGAGTGTTTCAAATGTATTTTTTTGCTTTGCTTTTCAAGTGCTGCTCGTGGGCGTGGGCAACAAGTTAATTATGCGCCCCTTTGACGCTCTTCTACTGAGCCTGTGTATGTGTGTGTGTATGTCGCTCCCCACCGCTTCCGGTTTATGTGACAGCTATTTCTGTGTTTCAGAGAAAAAAGGAAATTAAAAATGTCGCCCAGCCAAAATGACGCCTACGACCAGCAAGCAAAAAGAAACGAGCAGGAACGTGCGAGTCGCTTCTGGGGACGCGACTCTACTTACCCGTACTCAGTCAGTATATACATTTTTGAACATATGAATTAGAATTTTAGAATAAAAAAAAATATTTTACATTTTTTTGCTACATCTGCTATCTACATCTACAATGTATACTCTACATCTAACATGTAGGTTATAGATGTACCATTCATATTCCTCATCTTCTCTGCTAGGGGTTGTTCGCGCACTGAACGCGGCAGAGTGTGCGAGCGAGAAAGAGAATGAATAGCGTGTCTCTGGCAGGGGGAGGCAAAAGAAGCAACAGAAAATTAATTTCTTCATTCTGGCTATAATTATGATCCGATCTGATTCAGATTCGAAAATCTGATAGATATGGTCATTTTCTACGATACTGCGTTTTTAGTTTTATCGTATCTTTAAAATTGTGCCTGCCACAGATTGTCGTTCTTTGTGTGGGCGGAAGGGGGCGGGGCGAAATTTTGAAATACAATTGTAGCAGTGTGATATCAAACAAAATTAGGTTGCTCTAGCTTTTATAGTCTCTGAGATCCAGGCGCTCATCAAGACGGATGGACGGACAGACGGACGGACAGACGGACGGACAGACGGACATGGCTATATCGACTCGGCTATCGATGCTGATCATGAATATATATACTTTATGGGGTCGGAAACGTTTCCTTCTCTGCGTTGCACACATCCACTTTTACCACAAATCTAATATACCCCTTAACTCTTTTTTGAGTACGGGTATAAAAATAATTAAAGTAGTACAGAAGTGTAGAGAGCAGAGAAGTGGCAGTTTTTTTATCAATTTAAAATCGTTTTCCGCATTTTGCCTGTAGCCAGGGATGCACACAATACCTCCCTAGGAAACTATAATTCACAGAAAAGTATCAGTATTTATAAATTAAATTTTATTCATTAATCTTTTGTGTTTGCAATTACATACGAAAAATTTAATTAATGCACCAAGTTCGACAATGTCGATTGGATACTGGGTGTGTCTGTGGTAGACTGTATGGCATGGCCAATATTATTGTTAGGGCTTTAAGGCCTCCTTCCCATTAATTGGCCACATGGCGTTCTACAGCACTCACAGCCACTTGCTTGGCTGCACTTCAAGGATCAAATAAGTGGAAGAATCCGCCGAGAAGATCATGGTGTTAATCTGCTTAAACTTGAAAGTACCTGCTCAAAATAGTTAAAGAAAGTGCAACTAATTATATTGAATCAAATTGTTAAGCAGTCTAAGATAACTAAGAGGATAAGCACATTGGGCAGTTATTTTATATTTATACTAATATAATTCCGATCATTATTTGATTTTCTTTCTATTGGATAAGATATGAGATAAAATTGGATAATGAATTTGCGCTTAATTTCAATTTTCAACTACTCCAATACGATTTATGGCCAGTGAATTTCGATTTTGCAAGCATATAAGCTGCTTCGTTTCCGGCGCTCTCCCCCCCTTCGCCAAAGAAGTCTGGCAAATATTGAAACAACTTTGTTCCAGTTTCAAACATCACGTTCTGCACATTTAAACTGCACAAAGGACTGAATAAGAAGGGGAGGCGGTGGGCGGGCTTATGGAGGAGGTGGAGCAGAACAAATTTCGAATTCAATTTGCCAGCGATAATTCCGGAGAAAAGTCGCTCAGCGCAAAAGCGAAAGCTGTTTGCGATTGGCACACATGTCGTATGCGTAATTTCAATTTAATTGATTTCTAGCGCAACCACCGTCCCCCTTTCCACGCGCAAAGCAAAAAAACTTTTTCGAAATGCTTTTAGCAAGGACGCGCTCAGTCATTTTTTATTTGCCGCTTTGCCAGCTTAACTTTGACTGCCACAGCCATTTGTTGAAGTGGTTTTAACCCAAAAAAAGAACAGGGAATATGAACTAAAAGGTACCCTATAGCCTACCCTATTAGAGAGAGAGAGAGCAATCAGCTGTAATATAACAGCAAGAGAGACTCATAAGAGAGCAGCCGCGAAGAGGCAGAGTCGGTATAAACTGGCACTCTACAAATATCGGATATTAAAAGACCAGAAATCCCTTTTGTGTAAATCTAAATGATTTGATCCGTATTGAATCCGAAGCATACTCCGATCGTTTCGTTTTTTGCGCATTTGCAAATAAATGAGCAGCGTTCAACGTGCGCTGATTAATACAGTTCGAGTGGTGCAGCACCACTAATGCTCAGCTCACCCCCCCCTGCCAGCCACCACCCCACAGAACTGTGCAGAAACGATTAATCAAACAGCAAACGGGATTGGGGCTGCGTCAGGTCTTATCCCAAATTAATTTACAACTGTGCAAATTAAAAGTTGAGCTCCAAGAGAGATGCTCGAGATGGCTCAATCTTGATTTCTTGGCCATCTTGCATTTAACCAACTTAAAACAGATTGTGTGTCTGCGAGTGGCGACTGGTGAGTGTTGAGTGGCGAGTACAGAGTGTGGGTGGTAAATTTAATAAACTAAAACCATTCGCAGTTCAGTGAACTGACAGTAAATAAATTTAACCTAATTCGTACATGTCAATAACAACAGCAACCAGGACAAGACATGCCTTGCCGCCTTCTGTATTCTGTCTTCTGCTTTCTGTTTTCTGCCTTTTGCCTGTTGTCTTTTGCCTTTTGCTTTGCTTCTGCTCGACAGAATGCTCACCAAGAAAACGAAAATGAAGACGAAGGAAGAAGAGCAACACATACTCCTCTCCTGGTACAAAAACATTTTGCCATTGCCCAGACGTGACGGGGACCCGCACAGTGGGGCTAGCATTATTGGAAGCCCAAAGGAGTCATTGCACTTTTCAAACTAGAAGAAAGTCACTAGACCTTCCTTCTTTTTCCAGTAGTTTGACGTCTGTACTTCCTTTTTTGCGACTAGTTTGATATATGTCTTCCACTGTGCTTCTTGTGCTCTGTTATGAAGTGTAAAGCATGGATAATGATAAAACTGACTATGGACCCTCCCCTGCCAGCCTCTGTGTGTGTTTGCTGTGTGTTTGTGTGCGTATTTGGCATTTTGCGTTTTGAGTCCTGGCACCACATGCTTCTGATGGCTGCAGTTAATCCACTTAATGACCCCGATGATTTTATTGATGAGTGCCCCAGCATCAGCATCAGCCCTAGCGCCTAACGTTAACATATGCCGCCGCCGCCTCCATCGTCCCAGATGACGAAGATGCCTTCACCCAGTCCTTCTTTATGTCCTTGCTCCCCTTTCTCTGCGTCCTGCTTTGGCTGTTGTCAACTCCGCCTGTGTAGTGAGGCGTGCCCGGTCGTCCTTCGTTCTGGATGGATCCCTAGCTATTGCTCTTTCTTGGCATGTTTGTTTCCTGTTGATTTTTCGGCACCTAAATTAGTGCCAGTGGGCTGGGTGGTTGGGGTGCGAGTAAACTGCTGGGATTTTTCCTTT